ATACCCTTTGGTTGGTTGATGATGCATAGAGGGGATTGTAACCATGACAATGAATCTATATATGATAGGATGAATGTAAAACTGATGTTCTCCCATGTAAACCCACATAATTCACAATAAAAACTGTAAAAAAATACTTTGATAAAAATGAATTCTAAGATTAAAGTTTAATTTAGCAGGCAGTTAGTGAATATTTTCCTATAGTAACTGCTAAAAAAAAAAAGATCAACAGTCTCAGAAACCCTAAAGAGCAGTTTGATTCTGCCCTGTAGGATCACTGTGAGGCAGACTCAGCTCACTGGCAGTGGATTTGGGGTTTGGTGATTTCTAATTCTGATGTTCAAAGCTGCCTTAAATGCCTCCTGTGTTTTTAATTATATGTAGCATCCCTGTTGGCTGCCTCTGTTTTCTTCAGGCCCAGTGTTGGGGCTTATCTTAAACTTACCATCTGTGTTGCATAACCCTGCTGTGTTTCATTTGTCCACTTGATCACATAGGGATGCGAGCTCATAAAATAATGTTGCTGAGGAAAGTGGGAAATGTTTCCTATCGTCTCTAGAATGAGACTTGTTCTCACTCAAGATGAAGTGAAGAAGTCAAACTGGGCCCCTTTCGTGCTACATTTAGGGCTCTATCTAAACAATGCCTCCTGCCTGTGCTCACCTCCCAGGTGGACTCTAAGATCTCCCTGGGCATCACCGGTATCCTGATTGTCCTCAGCTCGGTGGCATGCTCCTTGGGCATCTTCAGCTACGTGGGGATCCCCCTCACCCTCATTGTGATCGAGGTCATCCCGTTTCTGGTGCTGGCTGTGGGGGTGGACAACATCTTCATTCTGGTCCAGACCTACCAGGTGTGTTTTCGTGTTCTCACAGAGCAGGGCATCCGTGCAGGCCCGGGTTCTGTCCCCGGCTGTTCAGCTAAGGCAGAGCTGTTGGGAGTTTGGAGCTAAGAGGCTCTCTGCTCGCCCAGGTGCTTAGGAAGACTGGTGTCCTTGACTTGTTCTGGATACTTTGGGACCAAGAATAATACCCCTTTTTTGGAAAGGGAAATTTGTGTGCAAAGTAGAATTTGTGTTTTTTTTTTAAAAAAATAGTTTCTTTATCCCATGTGTACAAGAAGGGCTGACAAGCTTTTGGAAAACATTTTGGGATAGGGCTGCCATTAAAATGGCTCTACATAGTGTGGAAGCATTACCATCTGCTGTAAGTTGTCACTCTGCAGAAAAGGTCAGGCACATCCCTGTTTTGTAGGAAATGGTCTGCACTGATGTGTAGTCCATCATAGCCTGAGGGAAGACTCGGTGCCATGGTAGAGGGTCCAGCCACTTAAACCGTGTGCCATGCATTGTCCTGGTAATGTGATCCAGACTTGCAGAAATTAGCCTGAGAACTTTGGGTCCCCCAGCACAGTTTGCATGCTTATAAGCATATAAATAGGGACTACTAATCTTTTTTCTGTACAGTTAGTTCAAAGTAGCAAAGAAAGTTATTTAGAAAGAAACATTCGTGTTGCAAATGTAATGTGTTTGTGTTTGGTCTTTTAGAGAGATGAACGTCTTCAAGGGGAAACACTGGATCAGCAAGTGGGCAGGGTGCTAGGAGAAGTGGCTCCTAGTATGTTCCTGTCATCCTTTTCAGAGACTGTAGCATTTTTCTTAGGTAATTGCCCTGAGTCCTACCGGTCCTGTCGTCGGCTGAGCTGGGGGAGAGAGGGATCAAGTTGTTGGAATGGGCCCTATGGGGTGCATCCTTTTCTGAGGTTCATTCTGTAATCAATCAGAAAGTACCACTTACTTACTGGGACACAATGAAAATTGGAGGTGGTGTGTTTGACCCCATTTTGTGCATGTCTTTCTCATGTTAAATGTCAGCACAGTGTTGATGTTGGCACTTAGGGTGACAAAAACCTTTGGCACTCATGGCTAATGTTGCTCTGTGAAAATGTCATTCTTGTGTAGCTATAGAGTCTTCCTGGATACATGATTATAAGCAGCAACTTTCACATCTGTAGTCTTGCAAGAGGAAACCATTTTTGTCATTACCCTTGTAGTCAGTCTGCCTCACCTATACACACAGCTCATTAATGAACAGAGGGTCTTAGATTTTACTCCAATCCCAAGAGCCAAGTAAACTGGGATGGGGCTGGGCCACCTGGAGAACTCCCCCTGGAGTTGCCTGCCCCCCTGAAGGGCAGTGAGTGACGGCACCCTCTGGGAATTGCTGCACCCTCCTCCAGAGTCTGGCACCGGGCCTTCATAGGTGGTGTCTCCAACACAGGCACGCCATTCACGGACTGCTCGTCATTTCCACAAAGCTACACACTTTTGAAACCTGTGGCTGTTACAGTCCTTTTCATGGATACAGATGCTGAAATAAAAAAAAAAAAAAGAAGCTATCTTTGACCTCTGACTTCAGATCAGAAAATTGAGGGTTTATGCCCCCTCATGGTCACTTCCTTAGGACCACTGATGCTACAGTGCTTAAGCATTTGGCTGTTAACTCAAAGGTTGGAAGTTTGAATTCTACCACCCCCACCCTGCAGTGGTTCTGTAGGGAAAAAGACCTAGGAGTTTGTTTGCATAAAGCTTATAGCCAAGGGTACCCTGTGAGACAGCAACTGCTTTCACATGGGCCACTGAGAGTCAGAATCAAAACTGGACACCACCCAGAGCATGAGGACAAGACAGCGAGTGTGAGTCAGAATCAACTGGACACCACCCAGAGCATGAGGACAAGACAGCGAGTGTGAAGCTGGGAAGCAGCACACTCAGTGTTGGGTGTAGGGACCTGATGACAGTAGCAGGAGGGTGGACCCTGTGTCCTCTCTCAAATCCGCAGGGACCTGCAGCTGGCTCAGTACTATGGGGGCATTTTTCCAAGGGAATCTGTAAATCTACAGTCTTGTGGAGAATGTAATTTTTAAGTGGCAGTGGTGGTTATGTGCTGTGGAGTTGGTTCCGACTCATAGCGACCCTGTGTAGTAGGGTTTCCGAGGCTGTAAATCTTTACGGGAGCAGAAAGCCTCATCTTTTTCCTGCAGAGCAGCTGGTAGATTTGAACTGCTGACCTTGTGATAAGCAGCCCAATTCATAACCCACTGTGCTACCAGTGCTCCTGAATTATTGACTACTTATTTAAAATTTTTTTTTTAGAATCTTTAAGTATGTCAATATAGTGAGGGCCTGGGCTGCCATATAGTGGGGGCCTGGGCTGCCAGCATGCTGGTTCTGAATCTTAAACGTTTGTGCTTTTGACTTGAAACCCTCGTGTAACTGTGAATTCTCTTTGGTTGTAACTAAACCTAGAGACTCATGCTGATGTACTGTTGTTAAGTGCCATCAAGTTGATTCCAACTCATAGCGACCCTGTTTAGGATTTTCAAAGATTGACTGATGGGTTTGAATTGGCCAACCTTGCAGTTAGGAGTCCAGTGCTTATCCTACAGTGCCACACCAGGAATCCTGTTGATATAATTTGTTGTTAAGTGCCAACTCATAACCACCGTGTATACGTTCCTGAGGAGTAGCTGGTGGGTTTGAACAGCCAACTTTGTGGTTTGCAGTCCAGTGTTGATCTTAACAGAGCTACATAATGCTGTTATTGTTAAGTGCTGTTGAGTCGGTTCTGACCCATAGCGACCCTGTATAGGGTTTCCGAGGAACAGCTGGTGAGCTTGAACTGCCGACCTCGCAGTTCAAAGGGCTTTGCAGGCTGACGCATTAATGCACAGTGCCACATAGATGGGAAATCCTATCCCTTTCTGAGTGGAGGGAAAAAGAAGGTACTGTAAGAATTGGCTTATATCAGTGGTCCTCCACACCCAGAATCCCACTGCCACTGTTACCGAGTTGTTCTGACTTGCAGCTTGCCTATAGGAAGGGCCGTGTAGAACTGTACCCTAGAGTTTCTGAGGCTATAAATCTTTATGGAAACATACTGCCCATCTTTCTCCTGTGGAGCAACTGGTGGGTTTGAACTGCCACCTTTTGGTTAACAGCCCACTGCTTACCTCACTGTGCTACCAGGGCTCCTACATTTGCTTACAGAAGAATTAGGGTTGAAGTCTCTTAATTTAGGAGGACAGAGCTGGGACCCAGGAACCTGAATTTTTAACAACACTGGTGATTCTGATGAGGCTTCCACCTAGAGAAATGGGCCTCACAACTCTCCTTCCAGTTGTGGGTTGTCATCCACACAGGCTGGACAGCACACTGTGTATGTGTGTCGGTTTGGCCTGTTTCCAGCTTCTTGCTTTATAGAAGTGAAACGTGCACCTGACTGTAAACCTTCATGGACTCTCGGTGCCGGGAGGGGGGCCTGCTGCAGCTTCTCTCTCTCGTAGGAGCCTTGTCACTGATGCCAGCCGTTCATACTTTCTCTCTGTTTGCGGGAATGGCCATCTTCATCGACTTCCTCCTTCAGATCACGTTGTTTGTGAGTCTCTTGGGCTTAGACATTAAGCGTCAAGAGGTAAGTTGTTCTCAGGACTGTAACCTGTTTGATTTGAGTCTAGAACCTAGGTGAAGCAGGCAGAGGGTGTTTTCTATGATCCTGTTACTTGTGTCCCCTCAGAAAAACCGGCTGGACATCCTTTGCTGTGTTAGAGGTCCTGACGATGAAGCAAGCAGCCAGCCTTCTGAGAGCTACTTGTTTCGCTTCTTTAAAAACTCCTATTCCCCACTTCTACTTAATGACTGGATGCGACCAATTGTGGTATGCATACATCTGGGTTTTCTTTCTTCTTCCCACAAAACAGATTGTCACATGTCACATGCCTTCTAAAAAACTAAACAACTTGAGAAGCCACTTCTGACAGCTGTTAATTCTGCATCCAGAAATGCAAAAACATGTTCAAATATATAAAATACTTTTCTGGCTGGTTTTTAGCAGTCATTCAGAGATCTTGTGTATCTTTTATTTTGAAATCATTGTAAATTCACAAATAGTCGTGAAAGTAGTGTAGACAGGACTGGATTTTCTTCTCTCCGTGTCCCCTTTGCTGCGTCTGACATAATTGCAAGCAGTATCAAAACCAGGAATCTGACATTGGTATAGAATGTATCTAGTTCTGTGTCATTTCCATCACATGTGTAGACTCCTGTAACCCCCCCCACTGCAGTTGAGGCATGAAACTAATCCTGTCCCTCTAGTGTGTTCTGCATTTCTGACGCGTTATAGCAGGAGTGGGGAACCTTTGTTTTGCTGAGGGCCATTTGGATATTTCTGACATCATTCGTGGGCCATACAAAATGATCAACTTAAAAATTAGTCTGCTGTTTCTGGTCAGACATTTAATAAACTCACCCCAGTGTGATGGCCAGTCACTCGCCAGAAACCCTACCTATTACAGGGTCACTATGGGCCAAAACCGACTTGGCGGAATTTAACAACAAAAAATGTGATGGCTGGGTGGAACTGTGGTTGCCTTGGCAGACCCAGATCAAATGGTTTCTCGGGCCTTATATGGCTTGTGGGCTGGATGTTCCCCAGCCCTGCTGAATGGGATCACCTTCTCTCATCCCTCAGCCCTGGCCTTTTAGAGCTTGAGAGTGTTGAATATAGACAACAGTGGTAATCTATCACTTCTCTACAAAAAACATAAATTTGTTTCTAATGGTAGTGAAAGTAATCGTAATATGTAGTGTTTGTTGAGCACTGTTAGGTACTATGCTGAAATCTGGATTTTCCCTGGATGGTCTCATTTAATCCCCACAGCTACCTGATAGAATAAGCCTGTTGTGTTTCCGATTTTATTGATGAGGAAATAGAGACTCAAAGAAGTTCAGAGATTTGCTCAAGGTCTCTCAGCTAGTAAGTGGCAGAAGCAGGATTTGAACCTAGGAAGCTTTACTATAGATACTGTGTTTTCAGCCTCCACTGCACACTTCTGTTTTCCCTTGTATCGTATAAATTTGCTTTGTGGTTTAGGAAAGCCAGAGGGTTTCTTTGTATTTAAGTTTTTTGTGTAGATGCTGAAATTCACTAGGCCTTTAAAAACAAATGTCTACTTTCAAACCCACTTTTCATTCTAGATTGCGATTTTTGTGGGGTTTCTGTCATTCAGTATTGCAGTGCTGAACAAAGTGGAAATTGGATTGGACCAGTCTCTGTCGATGCCCGATGTAAGACACTTTTTTTATTTTAACTTGTGCTAATGCACAGTACATTTGTAGTGCCTATGTGCTAATGTTTCTAGCTAAGGCCAACTTCTAAGTGCAAGTGCTGACAGACGTTTTGCCAGGCTGAGCACACCCATAGCTGATGTACAGTTGTCCTCCTATTGTGGGACTGCAGGGGGAGCACACCGGGGTCACAGGGAGACTGGCCCTGGAGGGGTCTCGGCCCCTGATGCCTGATGCGCATCATCTCGCCTTGGGAGTCCCGGGGCTTTACCACTTCTCTCTCTCCTTACCCTCTCTCTAGGATTCCTATGTAATGGATTACTTCAAGTCCCTCAGTCAGTACCTCCATGCGGGTCCTCCAGTCTACTTTGTGCTGGAGGAGGGACATGATTACACATCTCAGAGTGGACAAAACATGGTGTGTGGTGGCATGGGGTGCAACAACAATTCCCTGGTCCAGCAGTTATTTAATGCCGCCGAGCTAGATAACTAGTAAGTGCCCCTGGTCCTGGCACTGGTCCGCTTGTGCCAGGAACTGCTCATCAAGCACATTTCTTGGGGAATGTGGCTTTATTCAAAATGTCTGTTAAATCTAACTGTACCTGAGCAAACCTTTTCAAAAAAAGACTTGGTAATGTGAAGGTTTTTCCACTGGGTGCTTACAGAGGTTGTTATGTGTGTGTGTTCACTGGGTAGCAGTATAGAATGAACTAGAGTGAATGGTTTCAAGAGAAAACACTGAGTCCCATGGCCAGTGTGTTGCGTTCTTGTGTCTCCAGCTCCCGGATAGGCTTTGCACCCTCGTCTTGGATTGACGACTACTTTGACTGGATTAAGCCTCAGTCGTCTTGTTGCAGAGTCTTCAATACCTCAGAGCAGTTCTGCAATGCTTCAGGTACTTTCAGTGCCTTCCCCGGAGCTTTCTCTCTCTGTTGTTTTCTTTTTTCAGATGTTAAACATAATTTCTAAATAATTTACACTTTTCCTCAGTGTTTATCCATTTATCTGTCAATACACACACAAAACTTCTGACTCATTGTTGTTTCCAAGACTGTAAATCTTTGTGGAAACAGACAGCCTCATCTTTCTCCCAAGGAGCAGCTGGTGGGTTTGAACCTCCATCCAACCTTGTGGTTAGCAGCCCAGTGCATAACCTACTACGCTACACTGGGTCTTGGTCAATATCCCTTTGTTATTATCCCTTTTCTCATTCAGTTACTGTGGAAAATGTTCCATTGTTACTGTCCCAGACCGCCATACAGGCCCCTCCTGGCTTCCAGGTATGGGACTCTGGTTTTCAGAGATGGCTCATGTTGTCTGGCTACACCAACGTCACAGCCTCCCAACAGGGCTGCTGTCCTCTTTTTAAATCACTGCTGCCCTGTGTTTTAGCCGAGAGTTGAGGCTGGACTGTGAGCACGCCGTCGTGGCTGTGGTGTACAGCGTGCCTGACATTTGTTAGACTGCAACAGTCACTGGGATGGAAGAAGTTTCAGGAGATAATTTCTCTCATTTCTGTATCAATATTTTAAAATGTTAAGTGAAACCTGGAGACCCATTCTTCTGACGTTGGCTCTCTGCTCTGTGTTTACACTAGTAGTCGACCCTGCCTGCGTGCGCTGCCGGCCGCTCACCCCAGAGGGCAAACAGCGGCCCCAGGGTAAAGACTTCATGAAATTCCTACCCATGTTCCTTTCTGACAACCCCAACCCCAAGTGCGGCAAAGGGTAAGTGACTCTTAGTATTTCAGATACACACTTGAATCTGACAAGAAATCTAGGTCAGGTGAGGGTTGAGGTAAAAAAGCAGTTGTCTGGAAAAGACCCTCATTTGTTCCCCACCCTGCCCTGCCCCAATCCTCCAGGGTAAGTAGAGAAACCTAAACCTTCTTTTTAAAGAAAGCTCAGTGTTTCAACTGATTTCAGCATAGCTGGAACATCCATTTCCTGTGCTTCCCTCTGGGCCTTGGGTGTGTGAGTGGATGCAGATTCTTGGGGGTCAGATGAGGGTGAGGGGAGCACACGGCTATTTCAGAACGTGAAAGACCGTCTGTGAGATGCTGTCAGTACGCACAGGGGACAGAATCTTGCCTTGTAATGTCCTCCTAGGTTAAGATTCAGATCAGTCTAGCTCCATCCATGCTCCTTGCCACCCCACCAGCTACATGAGGTGAGTGATGGGCTGTGTTGTTCCCCATCCAGCCAGTTAGTTATCCATGGAAGCAGGATATTCTGGCATGGAAATAGTGATGGTACTGGAAGTCTGTGGGTCTTCTGGGAAGCTTTTGTAGGAGGAAGATATGTCCACACGTACAGTAGGTAAACCCTGGGTGTACCTGTTCTTCATACCAACACCAGCGCCACATCAGTTAGTCATGTATATCGTGTCTCTTGTGGGAAGACTGATGTTTGTTGCTAAGTGCCAGTGAGTTGGCTCCGACCCATAGCGACCCTGTATAGGGTTTCCAAGGAGCAGTTGGTGAGCTTGAACCACCGACCTTACAATTCAAACCAACCTTGCAGTCCAGCACATTAACTCACAACGCCTCAGCAGGACTCCATGGGAAGACTAGCCCTATAAGTATACAAGAATCTTCCAGCTTGGTTTGCTTGTAGGCTAAATCCTTTGGCCTACATAGAGCAAAGTAGGACCCATCTAAGAGACTTCCGCTTTGTAAGCTGTGTTGAAATGGCTTCATTTTTTATGGAGAGACATCTGTAGGCCACTGTTGGGCCAGGCACCTCATTGACACTACCCTGTGTGTAGGTGGTGTTGTACCCCACTTACAGAGGAGGAAGCTGAAACTCAGATGATGGAACTTTATTAGGGTTACATGGCTGATCCAGTGGCGCAAGATTGTTCTGGGTTCAGGGCCCTGCACTTTCCTGCCTGCTGGTAACACAACATTCCTAAGCAGACTCCATCTGAAAACACATGTGGTTATAAAACCAATAGTGAAACAACCTCAGTGAAGCAGAGCGTATGCTGTGTTAAGTTTGGTAGATACTCAGAAGTGAATGTACATCCACCAGAGACCAAAAGCATTAAAGAAAAGCCAGTCTGGGTGAGACTAAGGCAACTCCTCCCTGCTTCCCTACCAGCAGGCCTCCTTGGGCCCTGGAATTGACCGTTCAGTCTGCCTTCACTTAGCCTTCAGTACTCCTTCTGCAGCTGCCTTGAACGATTTGACTTTCCTGACACCCACTGGTCCTTCTCCCAGGGGGCATGCTGCGTACAGCTCAGCAGTTAACATCCTTGGCAATAACACTCGGGTCGGAGCCACCTACTTCATGACCTACCACACTGTGCTTCAGACCTCTGCCGACTTCATTGATGCTATGAAGAAAGCCCGGCTGGTAGCTGGTAACATCACCGAAACCATGGGCATTAAAGGAAGCAATTACCGTGTGTTCCCGTACAGGTAAGGTGGCCTTGCTGAGGGAGGGCTTACTAGGGGAGTGTCTCTACTTTGTTGGGGTAAAGCAGGGTGGGGTGGGCTTCCTTGGCAGGATGACCATTCTGCATTCATCTCCACCTTGTGTGCAGATGAAGCATATTGCGGCAAACGGCTAGCTAGGCTGCGATCTGGGTGCTGGGCCTCACATTGTGAAAGAAACTCGCTGCTAACTAGCACCAAGGAGGGAGAGGTTCATTCTGGGGGTGGGGCACTTAGGGACCAGGCAGGGCTCCAGTGAGGGGCAGGCTGATTGTTCCTGGCCAATAGCTGACTAGTATCCCTGGCAGTTGGTAATTGGATTGTACCTTTATATAGACGTTTGTTTTTCCTTCATTGTTTTTTTTTTTCCCTAATAAGAAAAATAGTAATTTTGAAATTGCATGTAGAAACTGAAGAAAGGTAAAAGAAACAACTGTTTTTTCCTGTATCTCCATGATGTGGCTTAAAGGTTTACTTAATTTTCTTGCAGGAAGGTCTCAGAGTGGGTTTCGAAATTCCTGGGAAGAGCTGGGTAACCGTGCAAAACAACATTCTTTCCTCAGGCCTTCCACAGGTCCATGTGTCCTAAGGGCTTGTTTTTTCAGAATACCATGGGGTCTTTTAAATATCTATACAGTTGTAGCATAGGCTGGGCTTATGAACACTAACTTTATCTCAAATGTACATTTTGAGTCGTTCTCAGACCCTTCTGTGGGTGTGTTAGTAGCCGTGGAAGGGCTGATGGAATTGCCCGAGACCAATCTACCCAGGCAGATTTTCTGCAAGAATGTCCCAACTAGTTTCACATTTTGCAATGGTGGTAGAATGAAAAGCAGAGCTCCTGAAAGTGCTTATGGACTTTCATGGAATTTTCCCCCTCTTCCCCCACACCTCTTTACACAGTGTGTTCTACGTCTTCTATGAGCAGTACTTGACCATCATTGATGACACCATCTTTAACCTCGGTGTGTCCCTGGGAGCAATATTTTTGGTGACCTTTGTTCTCCTGGGCTGTGAGCTGTGGTCTGCAGTGATCATGTGTGTCACCATCGCAATGATCTTGGTCAACATGTTTGGGGTTATGTGGCTGTGGAACATCAGTCTGAATGCTGTGTCCTTGGTCAACTTGGTTATGGTGAGTCCTATTCCTCTCAACTTGTCCCTAACTCCCGTGCCATTTATATGAATGTTTCTGTATGAACTTCAGAATGGGGCAGGATCTTAAAGTCAGGCTCTGCCTTTTAGAGCACATGGGACAAGTGCTAGATGGAGTCAGGATATGGAGGGGTGCATCTGGGAACAGGCACACATCAAAGTGAATTTGTTTGGTTCTGTTTGGTCTTATTACTCCTTTATTTGTAGTTATAGTCCACTGTGACTATACCAATGGACCTCAGGGTCTAGCTTGCCCATCCTGCCTTTATCATCCTGTAAGGATTGCTAAAGCAAGCAATGTCAGTGAGGTGTTTGCTTTTCACCCAGAAAATGGCCCCACTCCCATGGGGCTCTGTTGCTTTGGCCTCCCATGTAGTTATCAGGTGCTTATTAATGAGATGAAAATCTTGAGGCTGCGAGTGTAAAGGTATTCGTGGAAAATAGACAACCATCCACAGGTGCTTTCAGCTATTGATGCTGCCTCAGTGCAGGAGCAGCAGTGAGGCCCACTGGAGGAAAGGAATGAGTGTGCCATTTGGTGGGAGCTGGAGAACCTAAGCATCCTCTATTAAAGGCATCAAGTATGTTACAGAAAACTGGAACCCTGAGCTCTGCTTGGAACGTTCCAAAAACTTCCTAATGCTCTTTAAGTTGGGCTGCGGAGAGCTTTGGATTACAGATCATGGCTCCTCCACCCAGGGAACCTTGATAACCCACACCCTGGGAAAGGGGACTGCTTAGGATTTCCAGGCAAAGAGTGATCATAAAGGAGGCACTTTCTTGCAGAGCTGTGGCATCTCTGTGGAGTTCTGCAGCCACATCACGAGGGCTTTCACCGTCAGCACCAAGGGCAGCCGCGTGGGCCGTGCCCAGGAAGCGCTCTCGAACATGGGCAGCTCTGTGAGTACTCAGCAGATCGGCATGGGCGGTGGGTCCACACAAGTGCCCACTGTAAGGACCAAGTGTTTGTCAGGAGACAATGTTTTAAAACTCAGCCAAGTAAAATCCTCTAGAAAACAGACTCTAAGGATTGCGAGTTTTCAGACAGTTCATGAAATAGCTGCATCATGTACAGATCTGAATTCTCGAGAGCTGTGGTGCTATAGAATAAAACACAGCTGCTACCACAAGGTGGACAGTTCAAACCCATCAGCTGCTCTGCAGGAGACAGTTGAGGCTTTCTGTTCCTGTGAAGATTTACAGCCTCAGAAACCCTGTATAGTGTTGCTATGTATCAAGAACTTACTCTGCAGCATGTAATAACAAAGTACTTGTGAGAATTCTCTTCAGGAGGCAGTATGGCTGAAGCAAAAGAGAATAACATAAAAGTTAAGATATAAGAGAACTGATAAGTCTTTCTCCATTCAAAATACAGGCCAATAATGTGTATTAAATCAGCAAGGAGCTCTATCATGTTCTAGAGCACAGGGTACAGAGTGGAGGGACATCTGGAGATCTTGGTTCACTTCTTAGGTTTTAGGATGTCAAGTCTCAACTTTCCCGTTACCACTCACTATAGGAAGTTATCATTAGCGCAACAACATTGTTTTGGTTTTATAACCATTTTAAGTACTCAATATCGTACATATAGAATATATACTCTAACCCTTACACAATACTTATTTCATACCTAACCCTGTCTTGGAACCTTGAACACTAAGAAACTCCTGTGTGAGGAAGTGGTCCAGTCACAGTTGGTCTGTAAAAATGGTTGCTAACACTCTCTTTTCTTTTAGGTCTTCAGTGGAATCACACTAACAAAATTTGGTGGGATTGTGGTGTTGGCCTTTGCCAAATCTCGGATTTTTCAGATATTTTACTTCAGGATGTACTTAGCTATGGTCTTACTGGGAGCCACTCATGGATTAATATTCCTCCCTGTCTTGCTCAGTTATATAGGTAAGAGGCCTCATTTGCAAGAGAGTGGGAAGAGGTAGCACATGATAAAGGAAAATGATGGCATCTCCAAGTATCTTCTTAAATGTACTGTGTCACTTAAGGAGCCCTGGTGGCGTAGTGGATTATACAACAGACTGTTTCACCTAGTTCAAGTCTACCAGCTGCTCTGCGGGAGAGAGGCTGTTCTCTGCTCCCATAAAGATTTACAGCTTTGGAACCCTATATCGACTTGATGGCATTGGGTCGTTTTAAATGTCATTTGGTAGTGAGTAAAAAATTCCAGCCCCAGAGAAAAATTCCCATCTAGGACTTTGTGCTTGTCCCAAATATTTCATTTGTAAATGGTCAACACTTTTTCTGGAGGCGTCTGCTTCACAGGCCCCTTAGTCAGATCTGGAATGGTTTCTAAGGTCAGCAGGCTGGGTGGCAACCCCACCCCAAGAGGAGACACCAGACCAGCAGTAAACCTACAGCCCACTCGTCACATGCCAGCCACTTGGGCAACAGCTTTGGTTCCCCTTGCTCATGCACTTCACAATCCACTGTCTCCCCACTACTATTCATCACATATTGAGTCAATTTTTCTGTTCTTGTCTATTTCTGTGGGCAGTCCAACTTGTATAAATATGGCTCAGGTTTGAAAGAACAGTACCATGTTACTTGAGTGATGTATAGCCTTCAAAGGAAGTTGAAGCACTGAGATAGTTTGGAGGAGCACTGAGATAGTTTGGAGGGAACTGGAGCCTTGGTGGTGTTGTGGGCTAGGCGTGGGATGCTACCTGCAAGGTCAGCGGTTCAAATCCACCAGCTGCTCAAAAGGAGAACGATAAGGCTAATCAGCTCAATGGCAATAGTGGTTTGGGGAATAAAACAAGAGATTCTATTGCAACAGAAATAAATGACACAAAAATTATTCTTTTCATTCCTCATAGGACCGTCAATAAATAAAGCCAAAAGTAGCAAAGCCCAAGAGCGATACAAAGGCACAGAGCGAGAACGACTCCTCAATTTCTAGCCCTCTGCCAGGGCTCAGTGACTTCTGAGCTGCCTCTATCGGGCAGTTTCCACACGGAAGACACTAATGAACCCTGGATGTTACCAGACACCAGGCTGCCTGATAGCACAGCAGCAGCTCCAGACAGAATGCTGGAGAAACTCAGAGGAGTTCAAACTGGACTTAACAACTCAGTATTACTAAGTCTGAAGGCAGCCACAGGGCACAAGAGCCTCTCCCATCTTCTCCGGCATGCTGAAGGTGATACAGCAGTGCACGTGACCTGCTCACTGACACATTTTTAAGGCCAATCAATGCAAAGTCTCTCCTTTTTTTTAGGAGCAAGCCATCAAACAGTCCTATACCATATTTTTAGTAACATTTGAGAATGTTGGAGAGATAGTTTACTAGAACATTTTGTATTTTAAAGAGCTTTATTAATGCAATAAATTAACTTTGTACACATTTTTGGTTTTGGAAAAAAAAAATTTTAGTAAGTGGTTTATTTCAGAACGTTGCAGGCCTCATTAGAGCTTGGTCTCCAAAAATCTGTTTGAAAAAAGCGACATGCTCTTCACAGTGTTCTCCTGCAAAGGAAAATACGCATCACATCAGCAGATGCCAAGGAAGAAAGGAGAGAATGAACCCTCTACAGCTCACACATGGTACGTTTGCTGGGGTTTAATTTAAACACTGACAAATCACCATCTGCTCTGAGACCAAGTAGCTACACGGCAGACTGTGACCTATCATTGTACTAATGAACTAGAAAAAGTTTGCTGATCTAAATGCAGCTGTGCTTATGGTTTGATTAAGGAACCCTGGTGTCACTAGAGGGTAAGCACTGAACCACAAGGTCAGCAGTTCAAAACCACCAGCAGCTCTGTGGGAAAAGATGAGGCTTTCTGCTCCCAGTTGCAGAAGTGCTATACAGGTTGGCTATGAGTCAGTGGGTGTGGTTTTTGGGGTGGTTTTATGTTCCTCCCCCTCTAAAGAAAATACCTCAGAAATTGTATCTATTTGAAGAGTGATTACCCAATATTTCCTACTTAAAGCAGAAGCAATCAACCTTAGACCATTTATAAAACCCTTAGCCACCATTCCATCTTATCACTGGCTCTTCAGAAAAAGACTCCCAAGATCCTGTTTGGTAGGGACCTTCTGGACGTGTTGCCCACAGCACCTCCCCTGTGAGGCATAAATGCAGACTGTGCCGGCATTATAGAACTCACTCAACCAGAGATGGTGCCGGGCCGGCTGTTAGGAAATCTGGGGTTACACTAATTCAGAGTGCTCCTTTCAATCAATGCCCCCTGTTTGAGTTTGTCTCCAGGGCTTCTCATCTATCTTCTCACCTGGCGTGAAGTTAGGATTCCCTCGTAAACGTTGATTTCGTTGTTCAAAAAACCGGAATATAGTATAGAAAAGCATGTTGTCTTCAGTCTGCTTTGCAGCATCTAAGAATTTCCGTGCAGAAATGTTGTCGTGGCCACCAATGCCCCGGATGAAGCGTAAGGCAGCTAACACTTGGTGTTTGGAGAGAAGCACCTCCACGATCTCATCATTGGCTGTCGAGAGTCTCTGGAAGTGAGAGAGAAGCCAAGTAAACTTGAGCCACAGAACCGAGACTTCAGGAGGCAAGAAGTGATGGCACAGAGTTACCTTCAGCATATCCAGGGAGAGCTGATGAGCAGGGGGGTAGAAACTTTCCAGGGATAACAACAGACAAGCCTGAAAGAGACATTTTCAGACTAGCTTCAGCATAAGATGTTGGCGGGTTAAAATCTTAACTCTACACACAAGATTAGCACATCTGTTAGCGATACCTACCAAAGGTTTTGAGTCACTGAGGACATGGTATTGCAGAAACTGATGCAGCATATAAAAGCAGTTGTGCTGGACAAGTGTTTTGATCACCAGTTCATGTAAGTAATGCTGAGGAAGATGCAGAAATCAGTAAAGCTAGTTGCCAAATTGCTCAGCCCCCACTGACTAGGCTAGCTGAGGACTGCCTGCAGCTATTCTAACTGATGGGAGTAGACTGTTCTCCTTATTCAGACAGTGGTTTCAAGAGCCCACCCTGATATTATACGAGGGGGCTTCAAAAAGTTCATGGAAAAATGCCATTATCTTTCAATGCCCTTTTTCCACAAACTTTGTGAAGCCCCTTCATACTACTACTTCCTGTGATCATGTCAGGAAAGCCACTCAGATTCTCGCATAAGGTGAACAAATAAATCCTCACAGCACCTAAGAGGACATTGTCTTCTGTGTCCCCTCAGCCTTGGGAGGAGAATTGTGGACTTGAAGGTACCTGAACTGCAATCTGGAATTGGTTCAGAGAGCGGATATATTCCATCAGGACAGCGATCACAAACTTATGAGGCACCTCCTAAAAAGGGGAAAAACATTCTAACATTAGAATTGCCAAAGGGATACGCTGACTTCTTGTTAACCCACCTCCCTTTTATATATTAGCCCCCCTCTAGGTTCTATTAAGCTGGTTTTTATACAAATCCCTCCAAAATCATTCCTCCCTGCCCAATATGGGCCTGAAGATTAAAAGCTGAACTAGCACTAGGCCCTGACCCCAAATCACTTAACCTAATGGGGTGACAGAACTTCCCTCCAGCAACAGATGTGGGTTTGGAGAGCCCTAGTCCAGCGAGGAGACCCACCTCCGTGAGCACAGACAGGACGTGGGTGTACATGTCAGACTGGTCAACAACCGCCTGTGTCCGCACCGGCCTCTTTAGAGGTGGATGACTTCGGCTTTGCCCTGCTTCTGCTGCCTAAAGTAAAAATACACAATGTCATCTTCATCCCGTTCTAGGTAAACAGTGCCGCTCACATGTAATCCACAAAGACTGAGTTCCTACACACTGTGAACCTGTTTGAACAAGAAGAGACACTTCTTCGTTCCCTGGATAAAATCACTTTCCTTGGGGGCGGGTACCAGGGCAGGAGGTTGGTTTTAGGTAGAGTTGGTCATTTTGAAAACACCCCATTCATCATGGTAAACAGAACCAAAACTATCTAAGTCACATCTTCTTGCAATAAATTATACTTTGGTGGTGATGGTGTCATTGAGCCGGTTCCAACCCACAGTGACCCTGTGTAGGGTTTCCAAGGAGCAGCTAGAACCTTGAGGTTCAAATCGACTTAGCAGTTTAGTGTATTATTAACCCACAGCGCCACACCAGGACTCCTAAAATTATACTTTAACCTCTTAAAATGACTCTAATTTATTCTTCACCACTAACTAACCCAGCAGTTGTTACCTAATTAAAAATGAAGTCTTACTGCATACTCTATTTTACAGTAAGTGGAAACCTCTTGTAATGAGTATATATCTGGATTCTTAAATCATAAGCAAAAACTCCCCATCTATTACCAAATAAGGTGTCCCAAGTAGGGTAAGTACTGGACTGTGAACTTTAAGTTCGGCGGTTCAAACAAACCAGCTGCTCCTCAAAAATACTTAATACAGGGCAACTGAGTAGGAACCGACTTGATGGCTGATGAACATTACTGAATAGGAAAGCTGGGAGAAGACTCTGGAACTTTAAAAAAGACATTTAGTCAGAGCTCTAACTTGAGTGTGCTTTTTCCAATCACCTAGGGCTCTTGTTCACAGTACAGATGCTGCAGTGGCTGGGAGTTAGTGCAGCCTAAGAATCTTCTCCTACCTAAGCAGCCCTGGTGCCGTCAGTGTGCTCATCTGTGAGCTGCACTCTGGGTAGCAAGTGTTTACAAAGCCCAGTAGCCACAGTGGAAGAAAGCAGAGTGAACACCATTTAGGCTCTGATCCCCACAGCTCGACACACGGACAGCAGGCCCTAGACCGGGTAGCACAGCGCTCAGCCAGCTCCTGTGTGGGTCTGACAACAGTGGCAGAGACAGGCTCCAAGGTAACTTGGGCTTCTCTATCCGTTCACAGCCTGCTTAAAACCTAGGCTCTTGGAATTTAGTGGGGAGTGAGGTTCTGCAACTTTTTTGTTGTTTAAAAGCCACCTGCATTTTTAGCCTCCGGACTAATCAGATCCTTGAAATTAAATCATTTGTTCACTTGTCCAAAACCTAACGTCTTTGCAACTCCAGAAGATAGGATGTGTTAACAATATAGCCAAACTTAGTAAAAAGTCATGTTAATTTTCTTTAGTCCTTCACGATAAACATTTGATGCCTACTCCATGAAAAAGTGTTCAAAATTCCAAGAAAATCTTTTTAGTTATTACATCATAAAAGTGAAGGAAGACAAAAGGGGAAAACACTGTATTTCTCATTTACTAGGTCTAGGCTTTGGCCTGTCCAAAAAAAAAAAAAAAAAATACGCAGAAACCAAATATATCAGAGAGGCAGCCCAAGGATCTTGATACAGGTAGGATCACACAACAGAAGGCACATGGAAGGAGACTCGGAAAACATCACGCCCACCACTCCAGCACCCTACTCTCAATCTGCGCCAAGCCTCGGATACATTCTAGCACCACCTTACATTCAATTACTTAGAAAATCTACAGGGGGGTGGAGGTGGGAAACCCTTCATGGTACATCAGACTTACCACTGTGTAACTCTGCTCAGCGTCCAAGTACTTTTTATACTCATGATTGAGTTTATCAAAAACTGCTGCTATCACAGACAATGTTGCTCTGTCCGCCTCACTCAACACTGGAAAGGATACAAAGTTCATCAAACTATTGTCAACTTCAAAACATTAAACATGTTGCTATGGCAAAAAGAGCTCTAATGTACATATACCTTTTAAAGGACAAAGAAATATATTTACGAGACCTGAAACCTAGAAATCATTTGCACCACCCTTGTGGCTACTAGAAAAAAAAAAGAGCTATATGGCAGAGATTATTAGATTCCTAAAGCAGATCTGTTCAAACAGATAGTGTCTTGAATTCTTAAAACAACAATGGTTTAAAGCAAGGGGAGATAGGCTACTTGTGTGTTCTTAAATTTAGGTTAGCTTTAATCTGGAACCATCCTATTAATATCTTTGACTAAAATC